TGGTCCACATTCATGATATTGTATATTCGGATGCACAATAATTTTTCAGTAATACAGGGAGACAGAGAGAGAGAGAGAATGTAAATTAAAAGCTTGCTTTTATTTATAGTAGATAATAGCACAAGACACTTTTTATTGCAAAATCTTATTCATTTTATGACAAAGGTCCTAAGAATATTCGCAGATTCTTTTCTATTGTATTCTCTACTGCGGCTCTTAAACCCCTTGCATTCTCCTAATTACAATGATAAAGTTTTCCATTTATATCCGGATATAGTAGAAAGGAGCCAACTGTCTTTGTTATCTCCCTTCGTACTGATTTCTACTTATAATACTTTTAACATCCTTGCAATATTTATCTTAACTTTTCTCCAGCAATCTATATTCTTTATTTTACCGGTGCTTGCTCCGGACTAATGAATCGACTTTTCCTTTTTCTTCTTTCTCTATTGCCCCTATTCTCCTCGGTTTCCGCGGAAACGAGCGCCGCATATCAAAACTGCTCGAAATCCAGGGACCAAGAAAATACGCGAGAGGTCTCGCAGGTTGAATTTATTTTTCGCCCCTCTTCACAAATCCGAGGCGGGTAACAATAAAACCGAATTGCTTCGTGACGGCCGCAAAATTACAACCGACGGAGATTTATCTCCGTCACGCGGTATGACGAAGTGGGATTTTGCCGTCTCTAATAAACTCCTCCCCTGCTCATTGCATCTGTCTTGTCGACGGAAAATATCGTTATTGATATTCTATCTTGTCGGAAAAGAATAATACCAAGCTATTTCACAAGTATCCGTTGTCGGCCTTTCGAAATGTCGATTTATCACCAGTTGTACATTAGTGACAGTACGTTGAGAGCTGCTAGTCAAAGTACGATAAAATGTATTTGATTGTTAAATCTATAATATTGAAATCTGCAAAACTGACTTTTCCTCTTTACATAATCTAGAGATTAAATTGGGTCAAAGTACCGAAAAATCGTGGTGCGAAAATGTAAAAAGTTGAAGCTTAAACGTGTGCGTTAAAAACAATGTAGTAATCAACAATCAGCCGATATTGTCAGGTTGGTCGTCATTAGCGAGAGACAAACGTCAAAGTTGTGCGCCAGTCGATTTACTATTTCGAGATATTTAACGTTTCGTAAAATAAATTCACATTGAACATTTTGTTCTTTGCGCTCGATCCAGCGTGCGTGTTATTCAGCGCCGTCAATCCGAAAATTGTGGATTCGGAATTACGTTTAAATCGGCGAAAAGTTCAAAGCGCGAAATATATTCGAGTCTAAGCATCGATCGAGGAAATAATTATTTCCATTCGTAAATGTCGCAACGAAACGGTGATTTTAAATTTCCATTTTCTGTCGCTTTGGCTCCAACATCTAATGAATAAAACGCGCCCAATTTCCCTTTCGAAAAGTATTGCCGTCGCTTCGTTTTACACGTGTTTTACTAAGCGAATTAATTGTGGAGTTAATCGGTTGCGCATATTGATAAATGTTACCCGCCAAATAATTATTCACAGAAAATGATCGCATTTCGTGCAAAGAGATAATCATGGACGACTTGACATGCAAATTACAACCCAGTAATCTTGCATACGGCGTGCTATATACACTATCATTTACATTTCCATTAAGAAAAAAGCAGATTAATTTACACGTGTCATTTAAATTTTCACGATCGACTTGTCAAAAATCAGTTGATTGCTATATGAGCACGTAACAGCATGTAAACGCAAAATCAGCCGTGTAGGGAAATTCAATAATATCCGAGTTGAGAAAATCAATAATAGATAACTGATCGGTATGCGTGTAAGCGCAGTTATGCGTATTGTACGCGACCCATTGGGCAGCTTTGACCCAATTTATGACTCAAAAACCTAACGCAACGTCGACATTCACGTTATTGTAATTTTCCATTTTAATTAATCTCTAAAATATAACGAGCTATTAATTTCCAGAATGCAATGCGTTGTTAAAATTGCATGGTAATTGCGAGATATTGCTGTATGCGTTATAACGTTTAATTGATTTCTGTTATGCACCTTCCACTGTGACACTATTTTGTCACGTCAATATTTCTTTGCAACGTAATTCTAAATTTGCATCGGGTTTAACACTACGCTGGCAGCTCGCTCATCGTACACACGTCCAATGTAAATTCGTCTTTACGTACTGACACAAGACAGGACCGCAATTAGGGAGTTACACGAAAGGGGACCTGTCTCGAAGAGACGGCACTCCGACCTCGTAACATCTAACGCGTTCGTTCGTACACCTTTCTTCGTTGAGATGAATCTGTTTTTCCCGTTTGCCGCGTGTACCACCAAGTATATTACGACGCGTCTAAAGTCTTTCCTGGCGGCAGGCGAGCCTCGCGCAGTTCGCGGTCGTGAAATTTAGTACCCCATAGAAAAACACACTTACTCTAACTTAAACGACCCTCTCTTCTTTCCGTTCATGCGTAAAATCGCCGATATATTTCCGGCTTACTTTCTTTATGTTCGTCCTCTCGACTAGTATCCGTTATTTATTGATAGAATAAAGTTCAAGCGCCAATTTGTATTACTTTTTCGGTGAGCTTAGGAAATTCGTAGTGCGGGGAAAAAATACATTTCACGTATTTTATTATTCGGCTGTTGTTCCCCACGTATATGTATAGATAATATTAATCAAATAAAAACAGGTAAAGTAAAAAAATAGGAGATTTTAATTTACAAAAAAAAAACAAAAAAAAATCTTTCGTGAAATTTGCATTAAATACGTTTGCTAGAGTTATAATATTTAAATTAAATCATACGTTTCTAAATTAATTATTTAGATTAAAAAATACATGTAAAATTAATTTTGTTCGTATAATACGTGAAATTTTAATATTCAGGAATTTTCTCTACCTCGGTAAATATCGAGCTAAAAAGATATGAAAATATTCCGTTACGATATCCTATTCTTCACAGAATTAATGAATATGAAGCCGAAAATATGAACTTGAATTATATATTACCACGAGTAACATATGAAAAGTTGCCGTATTTTGCCTATATATTTAAAAGGAAATACATCCCACGGGAGGATCTGCCAAGATCAAAGGCCACGATTTGCAGCTGCGATGAATAACATTTGACCTAAAAAGAATCTCGTTTTCGAACGGATTTTTTCGGCACGCATACATTTTCTGTCTCTATTTCTATAAACGACAAATATATCTCGTTGCAAGTGCGGCGAATCTTTTCTTTATCCGAAGATGAAGAAACGAGAGCGCGCTTGTTTCTTCGTTGTTAAATCTGAGAGAAATTCTTCTCGTTCGCTCTTTTCAAAGCGGGTACGATATATATACGTTTTTCATTTCCGCGGGAAGAATGCAATGAAATTTACTCTTGCCAGTGAATAATATTCATGACGTTTTTGCGACTAACGACTGGCACGTGATATTCTGCGTCTTTTCTGTTTTGTTCATCATTGTTACACGGCAAGTAATTAAACATCGCAACGTGCTTAATAAAATTTGCAAAGGATATTTGCTAAGCGCGTTGTTCTAAAGAGAAATTATTACGTTATTATTCTAGAAAATGTTTCTACTAAATTGCAATTATACTTTCATCAAATTTTCGAGTAATTTAAATTTATAGCTTGTAGAAAAGCGAATAGTTTTTCAAGATTTAATGGTAACATTGTATAAAACTTTCTATATACAACATCGCTCTAACATTTGACACGGAGAACAAAACATGCACCGTTGCATTATTAAAAACGATAATAGAGTCGCGGTGATCAAGTTTCCAGTGAATTGAATCAACCAAATTAATTTAAATACATTTTCCATCGTTTCCGACTGAAAATAATTACAAAATTGAGGCTATCTCAATAATATGGAGATTAATAAACAGCGTAAAAAATAGAATGGCCAATAATGCTTCTTTCAACTCCGGAGTCAGTAAACGCGATTTATAGCTAATTCAATGACCGCAAACTAGCGTGACAAAATTAATGGTATCGTGAGCGATATTAAAATCCGTGAAAAGAAATGAGAGAAATGAATCTTGTCGCCAGTGGCGAGACGTCACCGACACGCAATTAAAACTTGGAAATAGGAATGCCGGTAATTTCCGCTTTGAGTTTCTGATCGACGCTTCCCAACGTCTTCCTACGACTTTTCTCCTTCTGTCGGCGATATAATCACTCGAGAGAATCCGGAATGCTTTCTCCCGGTTTGTCGGTAACCGGCATCGCATTTCGCCGGGAGAATTCGAGTGGCAATGTTAGGCATCCTCGTGTACGAGAACGCCTGACATCGCTCCTCGGATGTTTCCGGGTAAAACGAAAGAAAGAACGGACGAAAGAAGAAGGATCCTGGAATCTGTCGCGTTTCGCGACGAGCTTGCGGGTCCTGGAGCTTAATTAAAGAGGATTCAAGTGCGGAACATTAGACGGAGGAAGTCTCAACGAAAGCTTTTCTCGGCACTCGCTGATGTGCCGAGCACGAAACGGAATTTCTCTCTCTCTCTCTCTCTCTCTCTCTCTCTTTCTCTTTCGCTCTTTCTGAAAGCGGAAGAACCAAAAGCAGCCACCGGAATTCACACCTCGACGGATCTGAGTCGATTTTCGTATTATGTTTGTACAGAAGGATCCGGAGAGGAAATACAAATATTTCGCTAACAAACTCTAGAGGCAATTTTATATGAAAAGTGTTGTATCAACGTGTAGCTCTAACTTTTTCCAGCTATATTTGGATAACCACTACAATTCAATTCTGTGAGGTACGACATCTCAAACGAAGTTTCTGGTTAGATACGATACTTTCAAACACTTTAAGTAATTGCCCAATATTCGTACGCGGAGATCGTGCGTTATTATATTTTTTAATTATATTCTGCATTAGGTGTTGTTACGATATTTGCAAGTTTTTTTGTATATAAACTTACAACTATTCAGAAAAAGATTGTATGTCATGTACGAGATAATTGTCTCGTAAGACAGAAATAGAGAAACGTAAAAATAATACCTGTACTCCTCCAGCTCCTACGATGAACAACAGCTGAACCATGAAAAGGGCTGCCAAAAGATTCATCAGGGTCGTGCCTGCCAGGCTTCTCAAGTCGGAGAAGAGGCTGAAAACACAAATACAGCCAATCAGTAAAAGATTCATTGATCTATTGATAAATACGGGATAAAGATTTATATATAGACACAAAAGAATAATTTCCACATCAAGTTTGTAAATATGAATTCGTTTCTAAATATATTTTAACTTAAATTAAGAAGTAATTTGTCATTTTCGAAAAACGATTAGCATAAGATTATTTAAAGAGAAAGTACTCAGAAGCAGAAAATGTTGGATCTTAGTGGAATTGAATAATAAAGAGTCGTCAATAAATCGTTGCCGACGAGCACACTGCATTATTCTCGCTAGAATGATAACGTAATATAAAGAATAGACGGAGAAATGAACGTGAGGATAAACATAATATATTGCCTCCACGCAATAGCTCACGTTCGCCGGAGAGATATCTTGATATCATGAAAGTTGAACGTTCAATAACAATCGTACGAGAGTTCGCGCCAAGAAATAAATTTGGTAATCCGCCAATCGTGCGTCTTCCACGCGAGGGGATACCAGTTGCATTCGCCCCCGTGTATCAATCGAAAGAAAGCGCAATTTTTTAAAAGACGACATTTCTGGCAAAATTACGAAAAGTAAACATCTAGAAAACCTTATTTTCAAGCAATTACGCCAAAGTATCACCGTTACAACATTCCATCGGCAGATTTATATTTTCATATCTTTTCCGCGATATTAAAAGAGAGAAAGTATTTAAAGTAATTAATACGGAAATTAAAACGTGTCGCTCTTATTACAATCAGAATGCAAGCGAGCCGCGACGAGGATCGGAGGTACTTTTAAATTATGGATTTGCCCCGCTTTTCGGTTGCCTACAATTAAGTGTCGCGAACCGTTCGTGCAGTCATCCTCGTGAATAATTCGCCCGTTCCGTGAATAATTCATAAATCGCTGCCGAATGGCTTCTAGCGCGGAAGGAATCCGCCGCTGACGGAAACAAAGGAACGGCCGCGATAGAGAAACGTTACAAACGAGAACTATACCCTCTTCCATCTCAAAGACGTGCGGAGGCGAAAAAGTGTTCCGGTCAAAGAACGGCTACCGCAGAAAAATGCGATTAATAATAAGGCGATCGGCAAAGGCAAGAATAACGGGGTTACATCCGCGGCAGAGATCGCAAGCTTGCGAGCAAGATATCACCCTTGAAAAATTACCGTAAAAATTGTCGGTAAAGCGCAGTCCCTAGACGATCACCTGAAACGTAGCGATTTAATATCTCTGAGAAATACGGTTTAAGAACGAAGGAAAAGGAACGTTTCGATAACTCGAGAGCTTTTTAGGGGATATTTTTAACCAGTTATTTTTAAGCTGTCATTTCGTCATAAATAACGATATCAGGATTACTAAATCAAACTTTATTACAAGTACTTAACTCTGTAAAATTGTCAGCTCTGTAAGGAAATTTTAAGGCTCCACCTGGCGTGTAATCGTTGCGGAAAAAGATTTGTGATGGAATTTGGGTGTTGAAAACCTGTTATCTCATATTAGAAACCTCTATCTCATAATGGAGGACTTTCCTCTACATTTTCCTACAATGGAATGCCACTATCTATCCAGTTTTTAAACAGAGCGCGTGTCCCACAAATACAGCGCATAAATTCATATTAGTATGACGAGAAATGCACAGACTTGGCGAATTTGTTTGATTTATTCGCCGTTTGCGTGGTATCGATATTCGGTTTATGCAGAGGGAATATCGGTAACCCCTTTTCTAGGTCGCCAGCTGGGAGCGAGAGGCATAAATCCACATTGTGTACGTACATCACACATGCATGTACTTGATACATCACCAATGAGAGGATAAGCCGCACATACTCTCGCGGTACGTTCTATCTTTATTAAAATTATATTGCACCGACTCTTTATCGAAAGAAATGTCTCGCGCAAAAATTTACGAAAAAAAGTACCGTATTAAGTACTATATAATATTAGTAGTAATTTATATAATATTAATATAATAATGTAATTGTATAAATATATTAATGTAATTAATTAAAATAGACAAACTCCACGTTTTCAATATCCTCGTTGCAAATAAATTGAAGACAAAAGTTTCGATTATACCATTGTACGATTAATAATTATCCGATTAGTTAATACACGCATTATTCTCATATTACTATGTGCTTTATGTATAATTAGAATGCAATTATAATCATGTATAATTGGTGAATTCAATAAAATATGAACGCAAGTGAGCTTTCCAATCGCGTTTTACACCATTAATATATCGCAAATGTTTCGAGGCGGCCTTGACTGAAGCGGTAATGAAAAGCTTAATGATCCGCTTCCGCGACTTTTGCCTCTGTCGGCGCTTTTTTGCCCGGCATTGAAAGTTTTATCGTTTTATGAATTATTCACGAAGGTGGACGCGGAACGAGAGATCGCGCGTAGAATTTCCACGGGGATAGTCCGAAACCCACCTCTGCGACTCCCCAGAGATTTTCCTTAGAACCGCCCTTTATTTCTTGCCCTTTAACGAGAGTCATTTTACGCCAAATTTGATTATCTCACGCGGCGGCTTCTTCGTTATTGTATCCGCCCGTCTTATCCATCTCAAGCACAAATTTCAGTCCAAATTTGAAAAAAATTACATCTTATAGCTAAATATAAAGTTTGACTTGTACCACCAACACACTTTTGAAAGATAATTCAGGGACCAATCCTGTAGTATTTATTTTAATTCATTTTTTACTTGACAAAATATGTACGTGGACGATAATTTGAATTATTTACTTCCGCTTTCACTGATGCGCAAATAAATAAACGACGTGACATAAGAACTAATGCAACATGCAGCTATCTATTTTAAGTAAATATTCCAATGCACTTTTCGCAAAGATATGTTATTTAACGAGCATTTTTATTCCGTTACGTGTCAAAATTCATAATACCATTTGGAATATAATTCAATATATTCACCTTGCAATAGCCTGAAGTTGCGCGGTAAACGTCCAAGTTGAGTTCCAGCCACTGATGCTGATATCTCGAAGGACGACAGCGCCATTAAGGGCAACGTAGCTGATAAGCAGCGACATTGCGTCGCGATTTATCAAAGCTCCGACAGCCACGATCGGAACTTACGGAAGCTCCGCTTCTTTCGTTGAACCTAATGACGTGCGAGCTCCTAATCTTAATTTTTAATCTTCGACCTTCAACCATTAGTCGTATACTTATTGCGAAATTATGCAATTATGTGCAATGACACTTTACAAATATGTACGTCTTTACAGCTAAACTAAATTTTACGCCAGTTAAGTGGCCGTTAGAGCAAATAAATTTTTATTTAATCGGTGCTTATTATCCGTGAAACTTAACTCGTGACTCGTAACGTTATTTTCCTTTTCATTGTTATTTATCTTATTATCACTTCCGAATCTAATTTATACTTGAAATAGCAAAGGCACGAAGTCTTTGCTGGAAGCAACACCAGCTTCGAGGAACTAAGCCGGACTTACGAGTTACCCAACAACTTCGCGCCCAAAATTTCTCCGTTCTTCTCCCGAGGAGAGGGCACGACCTCTCTTACGTCGTCGATCGACTTGCGCGAAACTTTCCTCCCCTGTCTAATGTTTTTCCCGTAACTAATTATATGTACTTACTTGCCTCGGGCTTGATATACGAACGTTCGTGTATATCTAAGACAAACTTAATAAAAGTGCAGTAACACGCCTAAATATTTGCTTCCAAAATAATTTCCAACTCATCGGCTCTTATCTCTTCCCTCGCTCCTCCCCAGCTCTATCTTTCTCTCGCCGTTCTCATGATTTACCGGTATGGTTAACGTTAAGACCAGAAATATTCGCGAAATCCGATAATATACGGATATTTTCCGCGAACTTTCATCTCGACGACGACTTTATCGAAAAGCGGCCACGCGAAAGCTAACGAGACAGCTATCGAAGCATTATTGGATATCGATGGCAGAAGCCACTGTAATCACATATTCAAGACAGTTTGATGGGATTCTCGATAAAGGCTACCACTAGGCAGAATTCAGGAGATCGTCAATTTGAATTACTTGGCCCTCGCGAGACTGCGTTTGAACTGAAATGCCAGGTTGTTGATAGAAATCGTCTACACATCAGGCTTCAATAGACAGAGAAGTATTTTCGAGAAGAGAGGGCGAAGAGCGATATAGAGTTAAGAAATCATCGAAATTTCAGTCGAAAATTTCAGACAGGAGAGAAACAGTTCCTTGCAAATAAAATCTGTTGTTACTGTCTAATTTTATTATTATACGGCTATGTAGTATCTTTTGAGAAATAATATTCTATCACATTTATTTTACGTATAATATAAAAACTTGTATTAATTTTTTACATGCAATTTCTTTTATTAACTTGATTTAGCTCAACTTAATTTAATAGCGCACTTCTTGTCTACGTCATTTTAACACTTCTGTCAGTCTCGCTGCTTCCATCATTTTATTTCTTGGTCAAATATTTACATTCCCATAATTTCGCGTGGCATAAAGCTGTAGTGATGTTGTTTTGATATTGCAGCTTCCGCACTAATGGCGAACAATCGGGGATGCTATAACGTTTTTACTACCAACGGGGATCGTAAAGGGGCAAGTCGAGGGTGAAACTGTCGCGACAACAACGGCGCTCGACTTGACTTCGCACTTCCGAAGACCGACAGAAAAAAGCGGTAGAACGAGGAAAGTCCTTTAAGACGATGAGATCCTCTCTTCGGCCCAACGTTTCCTTTTAGATCTAAATCGCGCCCAGGGGAGACCCGCTACGGTACCTTCAAGTTTGTCGGCATGAAACTTTCAAGCTTGTTAGCCTGACCACTCGCCAACCACCCCGTAACAAAGCCTACTTCTGGGGGGAAAAATGGCAGTTAGCAACCCATTTTGGGGCCCACAATTAGTAACCGAATTATTTCGATTGTTCGTAACTCTAATCTTTTACGAATTTTACCCCGCGTAACTAAAAATCGCAACTATCTATATCCAAGATTTTTAAGTAATACTACTTTAAG